CGATATATCCCCACAAAACATTTATTTTTACTCAGTGGTAGAATAGAACAGAAAAATGCGAACTTTCATAAAGGTAAGTATAAAGAGATCTTTTATTCGATCTGGGAAAACGACATGATATAATCTTACAAAACAGCAAAAAATTTATTGACGAGAAAACAAAATCGCAAAATAAAACAATAACAGTTAAATCAAACATGATGATGGAAATTGTTAAATATTCCCAGAAGTGGAGGAATGTTATCAAAATATACAGCAAATCAAAATTTTTATCAAAATATGTATAGTATCTCAAAATTATCAAAATGCGCACAGTAAAAGAGTGGACATAATCAACGTCGCAAGAAAGACATAAATGAACAACAAATAACAAACTGAGCTGACTGAAAACGGAATAAAAGCGTCTCCCGAGATTTACTGAGCCTAAGAAAATTTATTGGGAATATTGAGATTTACTGAGATTAAATGTGATTCCTAAATAAATTCAGTGAAAATGCGGAACAATAACATTAAATGTTAGTATTTTTTAAAAGTTCGGTTAATATAAACAGAAGAAAAAGTGCAGTAATTGATTCTGATGGTATTCAAGCATTGAATCGTACGGCCTCTAACGGTTTACTAATGTAGCTTAGTTGATTATTTAATTCGATCAAATCTTTTTCAACGCCACTACCATTATCGGAATTTTCGGACTCATCACCGCTAAAAATCATGCAAATTTTGGCTAATCAACATGTATAATACGAAACAAAAGAGTTTTCACGAAATCTTTAGCATAAAAATGGCTTTTCATTGGGAAATGAAAAGAGTTTGTTAATTTCTTGACTCTGATAGACCGAAATTATAAAAATTAAAACTTACTACATAGCTATGTAATTACAACGGCCACGTTTCGCCATGCGCGCAGCTATCATCACAGGACATGGAAGTGAGACAGCCATATTTACAATTTGGAAATTGTATGCAAGTGCGTGCACAATACCTTGCATTACATCTGCCTCCATTCCCGAAGTATCAAACAACAATGTATATCGTGGCGTTTTTGTAGTACCCTAAAAAATTCAAAATTCAATTGGTTATTGAAGAGATATCTCTAGTACCACTCAATTATCTTTGGTGCGACTTTGACCGAGAGGGCAAGAGCAAGTCTAAAAAACAAGATTGGGATCAAGAAGCCTGTTTTATTTAACATTTTCTCATTTTTAACTTTAGATTTTTAAAATAAAATGAAAAAGCTTCTAACAAACCTGCGCTGCAGAATGCGAATTCAAATAAAATTCGTTTAGGACGGGATTTACCACGTGCTTATCGACAATAGTTCCTGGTTTGATGTTTTGTTCTACTGCTCGTTCCTGCTTACGAATATTCTACAAAATATTGTGCTCAGAATTAAAAGAAGATTACTGGGATAGAATAAAATGGCATACCCAGATTACCAACATATGACATCTTCAATTCATTCAGAGGACAAAAAATCCCCAAATCAAATTCCCAACTGTAACTTGAACAGCGCACACAGCAGTGATGCCTTCTATAATTAATAATCCGATCCTCTGAAGAACATTTTAGTTAATCACGGAAACTTTAATTTCAATGAAATGTCCACCTAACCTTTCTATAAATGCGCAAGCTGTGCATTTTTGTGAGTACAATGAAAGTGATGTGAGGACGGAAGCCAGGACCGCCAACCATCTGGCATGCCTTTTTGATTTGCTCTACTTCGGTGTTCATCACCTGAAAAAGAATTATAAAGCAGAACTCCTTCATTAATATGTATATACCGAGAAACTACCAATGAGCATATTTTTAAAATTTGACCTAAATATTGCGAGTAAATCAGTAGTCTCAAACTTAAAATTATTTAGAAATACAACAAAAAAACAACAAAAATGAAAAACTTACATATTTGTATTGTCCAGTGGATATGCCATCCCGAATAACGAACAAATGCTTCGGCGGCTCCCCACGATTTGCATTGAAATAACGCAATATATCTGAGAATATCTGTTGTATCGTATCGTCTGTCAGCTGAAAATTATATGTATAAAATATATCAATGATAAAAGCAGTGCCAACATACAAACAAGCTATAATTGCCATAATTTACGGTGGCTGATACAAAGTTCACATATACCATATAGTTCCATATGTTTGTTCATCTCACTGTTTAAATTGAACATTACCGTATGCCTCAGATTGAGACTAAACTCAGAATAAAATAATCAATAAATAATATCGACTGCTACCAAACGGTAGATAATATCAAGCATACCTCTTCCACCTCTGCCTTGCCGTAGCGATATCCGCCAATGAAATCTAATGGATGTTTTTTTATGTTTGCTGAATACTGGAAAGAAAAATCTCGAAGCATGTTAATATTCCGGAAATCAGGAACGAAGTGATTAAAATATCAAGTACTTTTCAATCTTGAAAAAGCAAAGTGAGAATCAAAAATTTCACCTAAAAAGACCTGAAAGACTGTTACTTACACCAATGACTGATGGAACACGGCTTCGATCCTTTCTAGGTACAGCAAAATAAGGGTGCGCAATATCCAGACCCACAATGAGAAGTCCGGTTTTCGTCAGCCATCGGTCACAGCTAAAATGTCATACATTGCTTCAAAAATAGGAAAGGTTGTTTCCAATGAAAATTTCCAAAAACCATTGCGAAAAAGGAAGAGCAAAAAGAAAGCAATCACTTAGTCTCAAGATGAACCGAATAATTCAGTCCTCCCAGTTTAATGTTCGTTTTATTGACGATATTATCAAGTGTTTGACGTTTGTTTTGTGTGGTCACCGACAATGCAGTTGATGCTTTTAAATCCTGCGTAACAACTTGCTCTTGTGACTCGATATATTTTATATGTGCTGAAAAATTCCACCACTGTACAAAGAT